TGACAGTGGGTGGGTGGGTGACTGCCTCTTGGAATCCCAGAGTGCCCTCTGAAATCTTATTGGCTCCCATGTTAATGAATGAATTGAATCCATGCCTAACAGACTTACGCATTGACGCTGCCTGAGTCATGGGGCCACCTTCAGCAGATAAAAACCATCCCGTTAACATCATAAAACCCAAAGGCCGTGTCACGCCCGTGCCCCCTCATCTGGTTTCCATCCCTCTGACTTCGAATCCTTCCCACATAGGATCATCTTCAAATTCTAGAGCTTTCTCCCGACTTTTCCCCTTACCCTGAACAAACACTAAACCCCCAGGGTCACCAGGGCCCCTCAGAGGCAAGCAAGGATGCTGGGATACCTGTTCAGAGAGATGCAAAACACATCGATAGTCCCAGGCAGGGCAATAACCACTTATGGTCTCTGTCAGACGGGGTTCATGGATCAGCCAGTGTCAATTCTACCGTAATCCATCCAGAACCCGCTGACGTCTCCGCTGCCTCCTCCACGTGGTCCCGCCCACCCCCCCATCCTCCTTTCAGACCCAGGGCGCCCGACTCTGCCCTGATCCCCGACTATGCCTTCGCCTCCAAGTCTGTTCTCCCCGAAGGAAGTAACCGGAGGGTGCCTGTCCCTCCCCTGCCCAGGGCCCTGCAGGGCTCCCATCGCCCTTGGATCAAAGCCTGAGTCCTCTCTGTGGCCCACAGGGCCCCTTCCCTTCCCCGCCCTCCCCTCCTCCTCTCTCTCCCTTGTCCCCTCCACTTCAGCCACACTAGGATGGCAACCTATGTACAAATGTGCTTGACGCAGTGGATGGATGGGTGGATGGTGCTAAGAGCTGTACGAACCCCCAATAAAATGATTTAAAAAAAAGAAAGTACCAGGACTGCCAAGAGAACACACAACTCTCTCTCGGAAGAAGTCCGGCCAGAGTGCTCCTTCGAGGCAAGGAGGGTGAGCCTTCCTCTCACGTACTTTGGACATGTTCTCAGGAGAGACCAGTCCCTGGAAAAGGACACCATGCTTGGGAAAGTCGAGGGGCAGCAAAAGAGGCAGACCCTGGACAAGATGGACGGGCACCGTGGCTGCGACCACGGGCGGCGCAGGGCCGGGCAGGGTTGTGCACTGGGGTGGCTGTGAGTCAGCCTGATAGCATCTCACACCAGCAGCAGCATTCCAGAAACTTAGATCCTCAGGGAGATAGACAGTAATCAAACAGTCACATAGGTCAATAAAGATACAGAGGAGAGTTCCGTGCAGTGCAGGGCTAGGTGAGACTCAGCCTGGGCTGGGCCCAGGGCTCGGCAGAGGGGCTGGCACTGGCGATGAGAACTGAACTGACTTTGAAGCAGGCTGGCCTAGGGCGTAAGGGCCCCCTCTCAGAAAACCTCACTCCCATGGAGTGGATTCACACCCACGGCGACCCCGTCTGACTGTCAGCCATGGAATCGATGGCAGGCCACAGGACCCTTTGAGACCGGGTAGAACTGCCCCTGCAAGTTCCCCAGACTGTAACTCTTTAAGGGAGTAGAAAGCCTGGTCTTCCCCCCTCAGAGCGGCTGGCAGGTTCAAACTGCTGACCAAATCATAAACCACCACCTCCCCCTACCCCAAATATATACATATTCGAGTTGATTTGACTCCTGGAGACCCTACACACACACACACACACACACACACACACACACACACACACACACACACACACACACACACACACACCTTGAGTGGACGCTTCTAGAGCCATGGACGAGGTGGGCGGAGCGAGCGGGAGGTAGGGCGGCA